TTTTTTAAATGGCTAGCATCTTAGAGAGAGAAGGAATGATATTTATGCATTCTATAATTCAACACTGTTAAAGGAGCCAGTCTAATGTCTCAAAACCACATCTTAATTTTAAAACGAGGCCAGGAGCAGTGGCTCACACGTATAATCCCAGCACTTTGGGAGGCTGAGGTGAGAGGATTGTCTGAGCCTATGGGTAAGAGATCAGCCTGGGCAACTTGGCGAGACCTCATCTCTACAATAAATAAAAAAAATTAGCCTGGCATGGTGGCACATGCCTGTAGTTCCAGCTACTTGGAAGGCTGAGGTAAAAGGATCACCTGAGCTCAGCAGGTCGAGGCTGTGGTGACTGTGAGTGTGCCACTGCAGTCCACTCTAAGCTGCAGAGTGAGACTCCAGCTCAAAAAAAATAGAAATTAAATTTTTTTCTCAGCACTTTTGGAGGCTGAGGTGAGAGGATTGCCTGAGCCCAGGAAAAAAAGAAAAATTTTAATGAAAGAAGTTAAAGCCAAATTTCTGAACTCTGGCTAATAATTTCGAGGCTACAGTGAACTATGATTGTGCCACTGCACTTCAGCCTGGGCAACAGAGCAAAACCCTGTCTCTAAAAAAATTAAGTAATATAAACATAATAATAGGACCAGGAGTGGTGGCTCACACCTGTAATCGCAGCATTTTGAGAGACTGAGGAGGGAGGATTGCTTGAGCTCAGGAGTTCAATACCAGCTTGGGCGATATAGCAAAACCTTGTCTCTACAAAAAAAATCAAGACATTATCTGGGTGTTGTAGCGCATGCCCATAGTCCCAGTTACTCAGGAGGCTGAAGCTGAAGGATCACCTGAGCCTAGGGCATTAAGGCTATGGTGAGATGTGATCGTCCCCCTGCACTCCAGCCTGGGCAACAGAGTGAGACCCTGATACAAAAAACAATAATGGTAATAAAGATAACACAAACTTAAAATGATTATTGATGCCAATCCAAAATATATAACTGATTTTTTACGGAATTTGGTTAAGGAATGGCTGGTATTCAAAACACAAACATATAGACCAGGTTTAAAGTCATCAAGGAAGGGGCACTTATTAGGCTGACTGATAGGGTATAGAGCAAAGGTTTGTACTTGCAAATGTATAAGAGGCTAAAGCTTACTTCTGATGCATCAAAGGGGACCTTGGCAAATGAATGTGGCTAAAATGGTACAGGGAGGGAGAGGAAGGTATGCCCAGAACACAGGCTGAAAAGTTGGGGAAATGTTTGGGACCTAGGCGGGAAAGGACTCTTAGATGGCACCAAAAAGTTTATGTGTTATGCTCTCTGGGTAAAGGAAAGCCACCACAGGCTTTTCATGCAAAAAAGGAACAGGCAATTTGTGCCTTAGAAAGATCACTACAGCAGCTACATGAAGACTGGGAATTTACAAATATCAGGAGTCTACAGTGTTATAGACTGAAAGTTTGTATCTCCTCAAAACTCCTACACTGAAATCTAGCCCTCAAGGCGATGGTATGAGGAGGTGGGCCTCTGGGAGGTAGTTAGATTAGGAACATGGATCCCTCATGAATGGGATTAGTGCCCTGATAAAGAGAGGCCAGGGAGCTATCTTTCCGCCATGTGAGGATGCAATGAGAAGTCAGTAGTCTGTAATCTGGACAGCCCTTACCAGAATCCAACCATGCTGAGCCCCTGATCTCAGATTTGCAGGCTTTACAGCTGTGAGAATAAACTTCTGTTGTTTGTAAACCATTCAGTCTCAGGTACTTTGTTATAGCAATCTGAACTGGCTGAGATACATGGAGAGAGATGGTAAAGGTTTGAATTGTGTCAGTGACAGTAGGAATGTAGGGGAAGGGATTGATTCAAGATATATCAAGGAGATAGAAATCAAAATAATTTATTAACTGACTTGTATAGAAGTTAGAGATAACCAAAAGTTTTGGTTTGGTAAATGAGTGAATGGCATCATCAACTGAGAAAGGAAAAGATGGTTTGAGAAAATGATTATAACTAAGACTTACTGTGCACTTTTCTGAATCCTTTAAAATAGTCCTCATTATAAAGTCCCTAATTTACGGATGAAAAAAAATCCAATGAACAGAAACATTAGGAAACTTCCCCAAGGTCACCCAGCCAGAAATGGCAGAACAAAGATTTGAATTCAAGCACACTCCCAACTACTACAGTATACTGTATAGTACATAACCAGTTAAATGTCCCCCATGTCCTTCAGGGAGCTATATTTAATTAACATTTGGGAAAACAAAACTAGAGCTCAAAAGAAGCATAAAGCTATGATTTTCAGAGTCATCAACATAATTGTATTTTCTGAGATCGTGAGAGAGATGAGATGAACATTTATATAGTGCGAAGACAAAGCCAGGACACTAGGAAGGTGGTTTTTCAAGCAGTGATAGTCCACAGACTGGGTCAGTCACCACTGCAGAGAGGCAAAAGCTTAAAGCAATCTCCTTGTGAAAACAGGGGATCCATTCACTATTTTCTGGGTCATGAATATAGCTAAAGGTTCCCTGTTCAAAGTACAACATTGAGAAGGGAAGCCTGATAGAGTATGAAATGGGGAAGAGAAGAAAAAACAAACAAAATTGATGCTCTCAGCTCTTGGATGATTTATATCCCTGTTAGAGCAAAGCAGCTTCTGCCTCCAGTGAAGCAGTAGCAAAGCGAGCTCACCTCTCAAGCAGCACTAGTCCCATCCATCACCCACTTCCCCCAACGTGCCCTGGCCCACACCACAGGACCTCTGCTCTGCGAAGAGGGCAGGGCCCAGCCGCACTGCGGCAACATCGGCAGCACAGAAGGAAACATCCTCTTGCAAAGGCAGCGCAAATAAATAATAGCTCTTGTAACAGTCAGCTTTTGTTTTTCATCAGTTATCGTGCATGCTATACCCTGATTTCTGGCTCTAAATCGACCAAGTTCAAAGGGAGTAATAGCAAAAAAAAAAAAGGCAAACACCTCAGGAAGTTTGAATCCTAAGAAGGAAAGGCAGAAAGTAGGGGCTTGGGGGAGGGAACCACTTGCTCTTTTAGCCTCAGGTACTGAGGGTCGGGAGACAGTAACAGCGGAAACTGAAACAGCAGCAAAGGTTGCTATGGCACCAACTTTCAGGCCAGCAAGGTTTCATCAGTGCTTTCCCTTCTGCCCACAGTTCCTGTCTTGTGGACAGCAGCAGCAGCAAGGAAGAAAAAAAAATGCTGTTTGTATTCTGATGGTCACAGGGCCACTGAACACTATGTCTAGAAGGGACAAGGAGAAAGTAGTAAACGACAGAAAAAGCCACCAATATGGGAATAAACTCCTTTGGAATGTATTAAATCCAACCTCATTCTATAGATGAGATGCCCCCATGAATAAGCATTCTTCCCCTGCCCTTTTTTTTTTTTTTTTGGTATTTATAATCCAAGAATCTTGACAGAGAGTGTAGGCTTTTAATCAAAGCTCTTTCTCACAGTGGCTTCTGATAACGGAGCTCTGGGTTCATTCCCAGGTGAAAAGTATGAGCTTGTGGCAAAGAAAACAGAATGATGTATTTATTGGTCAGCACCCTGGTGTGGAAGTCAGGACACACTGCAGGATGCCTTGGCAATAACATTAATCAGCTAAATGACCTTAGCCTTTCTAAGTCTCAGTTTCTTCACATGTAAAAAGAGAAGTTTGGACTAGATGAACATTAAGTCCTTCCACTCTCTTAAACTTGGTGGTGCTCAGGGCCGGGAGCCCTTCCAGGTGTCTCTCATACACTATTAGGCCGTCCACGTGCCAAGAAGCTGATTGTGCCTCCATGGATACACAACTATGAGAGTGACTACAACTCCTTAATAGAAGCAATAAGTAAACACATACACACTCACAAAGTTAAATACTATATTTTTAAACAATGTGTTAGTGGACTGGGATATCTTATTCCTCTTCATGCACTCAATATCCAGCACAGTCCAGGTACTTGACTTAACAAATGTTTATTGCATGCGTATTATGAAACTTTTCAAACATTCTGTTATGGATTGAATTGTTTCCCCATAATTCACATATTGAAGCCCTAACTCTCTCGATATCTCAAAATGCAACCTTTTTAGAGATAGGACCTTTATAGAGTTAATCGAGTTAAAAAGAAAGGATTAAGGCAGGCCCTAATCCAATAAGAGGAGGAAATTTGGACACACAGAAGATAATATGAAGAGGACATAGGGAGAAGACAGCCATCTACAAGCCAAAGAGAAAGGCTTGGAACAAATTCTCCCTCACAGAACTCAAAAGGAACCAATTCTGCCAACACCTTGACCTTAGACTTCTAGGCTCCAGGACTGAGAGACAATAAATCTGTTGTTGAAGGCATACAGCTTTGAAGTCACCCAGTTTAGGGTACTTTGCTTTGGCAGCCCTGGTAAACTAGTACAACATCCAAAAGTACAGAGAATTTTATAATGAAACCTCCCTCATACTCTTCACCCAGATTTTCCGCTCCTGCATACTTCACTATGAATCTCTGAAATATATGGACCTCTTCTTACATAACTACAATACCCCTAACAAAATTTAAAGACATGTAATTCACAGAAGAAATATATATTATACTAAAACACACATTCCTCCATTAAAGTTATTAACAATATTAAAAATAAAATCCCAATAAGCTTGAATTTTTGTCAATAAAATCCTCAGAGGATAAGCAAGACCCTTAGAGTAATTCAGTTAGTCAGCTCTCTTATTCAACATATCTAAAAACAAAAATCTGTTGTACTCTCTAATAAGAGTACAGAAAAGAAAGGAAGACTGTGGTTTGTATTCATACCTACTCCCTGGTCACTGAAAATGTACTTTTCAAAGTAATCTCAAGAAATTTAACAGACATAATGAAATCTTTGGTATTTTATCTGAAATGGTATTTTATCTGAAACCGCACACAGTTAAAGCACATGAAAATTGGCATGTAAGAGCTCAAAACCACTACAAGAAAAAAAATATATAAATAAGAAACCATACCTTGACAGGGTACAGAATCGCTTGTTGTGTTTTTCTAAAACTTTAGAAACCGGAGTCACCAACACTTCAAAAATTGACAACTTCCAATCACATGTCCTCTTTCAGAAGGCTACTTTATGTCTACTATTAAGACAAGGAGAAATGTTAAAGTCAGAATGGCCTACTTACAAAAGTTTTTCAAAAGAGTCTTTTGAAAAGCAGTTCGCTCCATCAACTTTCAAACTCCGGCACTGCTGTAAAAACCCACAATCCAGCTAATTAGTCTCAGCTGTTTGTCATATGGTCCCGCAGACTAGTCAAGTGATTTTTGCCCCTTTCAAGCTTACTTAGATCCAACTCAACCGGCTGCTCATACAGAGGGTGGCTTTATTAACCTCTTCTGGTCTTAGAAAACTAGTACTTCAACTCTTTCTTCCCCCACCCTCCCTCATTTGTTTTCTGGAGAAAACATTTTGAAAATTATCTGAAAATTATCGTGTTCTCAAGGCCCTTAATGGTTATATTAATATTGTTGCCTTACAATTACAATGCTGATCCAAACAAACAATATGGGAAATCAAATGCACGTGGTAGGAGGGATGGCACTAGATTACTTACCAGACCTTATACCTGGCCTCCAAAGCATAAGTGAAACTGTTTACAGGCAAGTCCACCCAGATATGTTAGTCACCTCAAATTCAACATGTCCTACACTCCACTTACCTCCTTTGCTCTTCTCCATGACCCTGCTTCAAACCCACTTATCTTCCTGTGTCTTGAATAACATAATTCCAACACATACCCAGCCAGAAATCTCACGGTTCTCATGAACTCCTCTTGCTTCCAACTGGCCAACACATCCTAAAGGATCTTCCCTTATTCCAAGCCTTTATTATTTCTTGTCTGGATGGCTACAAAAAACCATTTATATGGCTTCCTGGTCCCCAACCTGGTCCTGACTCTGATCCATCCTCCACACCAGACCCAAAGTGATCTTTCCAAAAGGCAAATGAGAGTCAATCACTCTCCCCTGTAAAACCTATTAATGGCTCCCATAACCTCCACAATAAAATCCCTACTCCTTAGACTTTTGCTTTCAGGATCACTTACCATTCCCTGCTTCCTACTACAAGCTGTTAGAGTCCAGCCACCAAAATTCTCTGTAATTCTCTAAAGCCGTGGTTCTCAAAATATGGTTCCAAGACCTGCCAGCACTATCAGTTCATATCAGCATCTTCCAGGAACGTTAGAAATGCACATTCTTCGGCCCACCTCCACGAAATTAGAAATGCTGAGGATGGGGCACAGCTGTCTGTGGTTTAACAACCACTCCAGGTGATTCTGATAGCACTGAAGTGTTAAGAGCCACTGCTGTAAGCCCACCAAGCTTTGTTCAACAAGAGACTTAGCTTCTTTGGCTTCTTTTTTCGCCAGCAAGACTAAGTTAGATGCTCTGTCTCTGGGCTTATTATTTCTACAACTGGTCACCTCTGTATTATAATTACCCAATTTATTTCTTGGACTTTCTTGTTGGTTTGTGAATATCTTGAAGGCAGGAATTGTATCTTATTTGTTTTTGATTCATTCACCCCACAGTTGGTTACTGAGCACTTACTAATCATCGGGTAAGATACTGGATACATAACTAATCAGTCTACATAACTAATGGATACATAACTAATCAGTCCTGGCCTCGAGGAGAAGCTACTTTCTTTGGTTTGGCAGCTCAAAGTGTAACTCAATTTGTCCAATCTACAAAATTCCATCCCTAACCTCAAGAATTGTGGGCAACTAAAAAACCCTGAACATAACCAGTCTGACATCTATCATGGTGAGTGAAATGGAACTTTGGGGTTATACCTGCTACTGACTCAAATGTATACACATGGTTTATAAAGGGGGAAATGGTTCATTTTCATGAAAATTCATGTATTCTTCTTTATTATTTCTCAGCAATCTCTAAAATTTGGAGAACAATTTGTAAGGAAATGTACCAAGATTTTTAAATCCTAGATTAAAATTCATTAGTTATCTCATTCTAATTACAGTAGAAGTTGAGTCAAGTTTTATATTAGCACTTGTCAACCTTCAATATATATAGGAATCTCCTAGAGACCTTTCAAAATGCTAATTCTGATTCCATATGCCTGTGAGGGGCCCAGGATTCTGTAATTCTAACAAACACCCATGTGGTACCCAAGTAATACTGACATTCCTAGTCCTGGAACTACACTTTGAATAGCAGCTAAAATTAGGACAATATCATTTTCATAGAGCTGTTGGTCTTTCCCTTAATATAACAAAAATTTGTTTTTAGATACATTTACATTGAAAGCTTTCTAAAATGACTTTTAGACTTCAGGATAAAGATGGCATACTCAACATGTACCTGTAGTTCCAAAACCTCACTAATATAACAATAGTGTGCTAGGCATGGTGACTCACGCCTATAATCCTAGCACTTAGGAAGGTAGAGGCCAAGAGGATTGCCTGAGCCCAGGGGTTTGAGACCAGCCTGGGGAACTCGGCAAGACCTTGTCTCTACAATAAATAAAAAAATTAGCCAGGCATGGTAGCACTCACCTATAGTTCCAGCTACTTGGGAGGCTGAGATGGAAGGATCACCTAAGCCCAGCAAGTTGAGGCTGTGGCAGTCAGGATCTTACCACTGCACTCCAGCCTGGGTGACAGAGTGAGACGCTGATGCAAAAAAAAAAAAAAGATAATCTGAACAGTCTACTAAGGAGTTCAATAATCAAAAGTTCCCAAGAAAAACCTGAAAGATGGCTTCAATGGTGAGTTCTACCAAACATTAAAGAAGAATTAATGATAATCCCTCGCAATCTCTTCTCATAATTGAAGTGGAAAAACACTTCCAGACACATTTTACAATGTCAGAATTACCCTGACAGCAAAACCTGATAACACTACAAGAAAAGAAAATTATAGGACAATATCCTTGAGGAACATATATACAGAAATCCTCAATATGGTTGGGTATGGTGATTCATGCCTATAATCCCAGCATTTTGGGAGAACCAAGTAGGAAGATTACTTGAGTCCAGGAGTTGGAGACCAGCCTGGGCAACATAGCGAGGCCTCGTCCCTTAAAAAAAAGACAAAAAAATCTGCCAGATATGGTGGTGTGCACCTGTAGTCCCAGTTGCTTGGAAGACTAAGGCAGAAGGATCACCTGAGCCCAGGAGGTTTAGGCTACAGTCAGCCATGACCATGCCATTGCACTCTAGCTTGGGCAACAGAGTGAGACTCCTCAACTAAAAAAAAAATAAAGCTCTACAAAATAATAGCAAATCAAACTCAACAGCACATTAAAAAGATCATATACCATATTCAAATGAGAATTATCCCTGGATGCAAAGATGGTTCAACATATGCAAATCAACACATGTAACACCACACCATGTTAACAGAATGGGAATAAATATGTATGATCTTCTCGTTAGATGCAGGAAAAATTTAATAGAATTCAACATCCTTTTATGATAACTCTCAACAGATAATGTTTAGAAGGAATGTACCTCAACATAATAATAGCCATATATTAAAAACTCACAACTAATATCATACTTAATGGCGAAAAGCTTTTCACCTAATATTAGGAACAAGACAAGGATATTCACTCTTGTCACTTATATTCAACATAGTACTGGAATAGAGCACTTGTGTATGAAAAATTAAAAGTACCCAAGTTGGAAAGGAAGAAGTAAAACTGTCTCTCTTTGTAAATGACATGACCTTGTGTATTAAAAAAAAAAAAAACCCTGAAGACTTCACCAAAAACTGTTCAAACTGAATAAACAAATTTAGCAAACTTGCAAGATACAAACATACAAAACAGTAGCATTTCTATATACTAGCAACAGACTCTCTAAAAAAGAAATTAAGAAAATAATCCCATTTACAATAGCATCAAAAAAATAAAATAGATATAAATTTAGTCAAGGAGGTGAAAGAGCTGTACACTGAAAACAATAAAACGCTGATGAAAGAAATAGAAGAGGATACAAATAAATGAAAATAAATCCTATGTTCGTGGATTGGAAGAATCAGTATTGTTAAAATGTCCATATTATTGAAAGCAATCTATAGGTTTAATGCAATTTCTATTAAAATTCTAATGGCATTTTTCACAAATTTTTTTTAAAAATCCTAACATTAATGTGAACCAAAAAAGCCCCCAAAAGCAATCTTAAGCAAGAATAAATCAGGCATGGCAGCTCACACCTGTAATCCCAGCACTTTGGGAGACAGAGGTGAGACAGCTGCCTGAGCCCACAGGTTCAAGACTAGCCTAGGCAACGTGGTGAGACCTCATCTCTACAATAAATCAAAAAATTAGCTGGGTGTGGTGGTGCATACCGTAGTTTTAGTTACTTGGAAGGCTGAGCTGGAAGGATCGCTTGAGCCCAGCAGGTCGAGGCTGTGGTAGCTGTAAGTGTGCCACTGTACTCCAGCCTGGGTGGGAGTGAGACTCTGACTCAAAAAAAAAAAAAAGCAATAATAAAGCTGGAGGTATCACACTTCCTGATTTCAAATTATTACAAAACTATAATAATCAAAACAGTATGATATTGGCATAAAAACAAACATATAGACTAATGGAACACATGAGAGTACCCAGAAATATACCCATGCATATGGTCAACTTATTTTCATCATGAGGCCAAGAATGCACAATGGGAAAAGAATAGTCTCTTCAGTAAATGATTTTGGCAAAACTTTGTATTCACATGCACAAGAGTAAAAATAGACCCCTGTATTATACACAAAATCAACCCAAAGTGCATAAAATACTTAGACTTACGACCTGAAACTGTAAAACTCCTAGAAGAAAATATAAGGGAAAAGCCAAGACATTAGTCTAGTCAATAAATTTTTGAATATGACCAAGAAAAGCAAAACTTGACAAGTGGGATTATATCAGACTAAAAAGCTTCTGCACAGCAAAGGAAACAAAATGGAAAAACAACAAATATGTGCAAACGAGAGATATGTGATAAGTAGTTAATATCCAAAATATACAAGAAACCCATACAACTGAAGAACAAAACAAAACAAAACCAACTCAATTTAAAAATGGGTGTAAGACTTAAACAGACATTTTATCAAAGAAGACATACCAATAGTCCACAAGCATATGAAAAGGTACTCACATCACTAATCATCAGAGAAATGCAAATCAAAACCACAATGATTTTGATCACCTCATATCTGTTAAGACGGCTGTTTTTTGTTAAGAGAGAGATAAGTGTTGGTGAGGATATAGAGAAAAAGGAAACTTTGTAGTATACTGTTGGTGGAAATGCAAATTGGTACAACCACTATGCAAAACAGTATGCAGTTTCCTCAGAAAGTTGAAAAGTAGAAATACCATAAGATCCAGCAATCCTACTTCTGGGTATACATTCAAAGGAATTGAAATCAGGCTCTAAGAGACATCAAAATAGCCAAGACTGGGAAAAAACCTACCTAAATGTCCATTGTCAATTCAAGAATAACGACAACATGGCATACACAAACAATGACAAAGTATTCAGCAATAAAAAAGAAATAAATCCTGCTATTTGTGATAACATGGATGGACATAGAAGATATTACACTAAGTGAAATAAGCCAGACACAAAAAGACAAATACTAAATGATCTCACTTAAATGTGGATTCTAAAATAACCAAACTCGCCAGGCACAGTGGCTCACACCTATAGCCCCAGCTACACA